CATTTCACTTTCTTTTTGGCATATCTTGCTTTCTTCTCACTTGTGGACTCTTTCAGGGAGTCAGGAAGACATGTGTTCTATACTACATATTATGTTCAGTTGCCTATCCAAATAAGGTAGGAAAATGTTGCCAGCATAATCATCCAATGTGTTGACACTGGCAGGAAGACTGTGGACAATGGTTGCACCATGTAGCACCTCACAGTCGTGATGGTGGTTGATCTGGTTGTTCACATGGCTCGGGGCTTTCAAATATCTGAAAGTGAAGGAGGGAATGACGGGTCCACCTAAAGGACAGGAAATTCCTAGAAGTTACAAAGTTTTGCATTGAGATATATAATTGACCATATAGTCATGTTATTCTGTACAAATATAATTGTGTAATCTTTCTTAGGATTGATCTTTCTATGGGTTTTTCTGAAGGGTGCTGAGGAATTCTTCTTGGTAGAAGTATGAATGGACACTGTGAATCCATAGAAAAGACTATCTAAAGAAACTGCTGGTATTGTTTCTAGCATGTCCATATGAAAATGCTGGGTTCTCAGTCAAATCTTAAGTTTGACTTGTACTTATCTTTTACCATATTGTTCTCCTGCTCATGACCCTGATTGAATGGGATGGCTGAAAACAATTGGCTGTTTCAGAAATCACACAGTTTGAAGCATTTCCAGTCCTGCACAGCAGAGACTTAAGGACAGACACCTGCCTGGCCTAGTAAACATGGGCCAAGGCAAAGAAAAGGTGCTGCTTGATCCAATGCTTCAACATGAGAGGTATATTTTCTCTCCTTAAGGGCTCTGCTACACAGTGGAATGTCATGATAATATTTCATGATCTGATCTTAGAACATGAATGTTGACCAGATTCTTATGTAGCAATTGAGGATGGGAGTTTCATCATTTGAACCACTATTGAGCTAGAGATTGCACAGGGTTAAGTGCAAGATGATGAGCATCATGTACTTGTTTTGAACCAGTGTGAGGACTTCATAGAAAAAAGAGATCTCTTCAGTCTCAGTCTTCTAAGAGATGACACCAAGGGTCTTTTGGATTGAAATTTTTGTCCAATCTTCTCCCCCCCCCCTCCCCCAGTATTAGAATGCTTCCCTTCACCGTTCATTAATTACTATAATTGCACTCGCTGTAGTGACTGATCAAATATGGTTACTGTTACTGGGATTCTGCCTGGATTCAGATATTCAACTGTTTGGCCAAAAACATCCATGTCATGCTTTATTTGATTGCCTTTATTGTGGATTCTAAAACCATCAGATAATTGATTTTGACTTTACTTATAATATTTATATTTACATGCAGAATATGATTGAAAATGTGCATTTGTCATGAAAAAAAAACACTGCAGCAGTAAAAGAGGTAACAAAAATAAATAAATAGCTCCCATTTAACTACAAAATTTCTTACTGGCTGTATGTGTTTATAAAGTAGGTATGTTTCAAAAATCAGCCTGGTTGGATCATTATTACATAAATTCTTGATGACTTTTTTTGCATTTTTTCAAGCGTCATATCTTTTGGTATAAGTGTATGCTCCCAAAAATGCAAAGCTATTTTTGATTTTACTTAAAATTTGCTGGCTGGGTATATGTTGATAAGGCAGCTTCATATTGATAATACGCATGATGAATTATTTATGTGAAAGTTCCAATTGCTTTATCGTCTTTCAGACATGATGTTTTTTCCACGGATCCATGGAATTCTGCATTTTTTATGTGATCTCAGAGCATCTAAGATAAAAAATAGGTTAGTTTTTTTACCCCATGATAACTGTTCAGAGTTTTTTTTAAGACCTCAGCTCACTTTTTACTTTAAGTTTTGCTGAGTCACCTTATTTGTTATTATGGCAGGTTCAGTTTGAAAATCAACACGATTGAATATCCTGACAAAATTTTATCTTTTCAGAGGTTTTTATGTATATATGTCAGATAGACTAATAATCTGACTTTCAATTTGACCTTGACTTCTGTGACCTGGTACAATCATTAAAAGGTATATAGGGTAGACAATTGCAAAGACACCAAAAGTAAGTTTCTTTATGGAGAATTATCTGAAATGTGTATATTTTTCATATAATGCCATTAATTGTTGACCATCTTGAACAATTTGCCCAAATGGGGTTATTCTCCAGAAGGTTAGGAGGCTAGTATGATTTAGTATGTCAAAAGGTATCTATATATGTACACCTGCAAAATTTGGTGTTGTTGTCCAGCTAGCTGCCAATTATAGATGATGCCCTTAAAAATCTATTATTTACTTATGTAACAGACGGACACTCTTGTGGTTTAAAATATATTTATTGGTATAACTAAAATTTTCACCCTGTAATGAATGGTGACATATAATTAGATAAAATGACATNTATGTGTCCATCTTCTGACCTTTTACCCGACTTTAATATTTTACTTTTCTAATTTTATTTATCATTATAATTCTAATTATTTGCTTTGATTTGTTTTAGTCTGCATATTTTTCATTAATTGTTGATAAACTGAAAATATAAGTCAAACATTTTGCATTTTCCTTGACCACAGTTAATTATCTTCTGATCATATCTAATACATATTTAATTATCATATCTAATTTTGCTTAATGTTTTCTCAGCAAAATGATAAGTAATAACACATAAAGATATGTAAATTAAAACCTTAAAAATTATCAAGCAATGACATCTTTATAGTTGTTTAAGATCTTTCCACAGCATTTAAATTTATGTTAAGACAAATTCCGTGTAAACACCTATTGATATTAGTGAGCTTTATATGCCTGTTAGGTGTGTCTGATATCATAAATTAAGGGGCGCATAATGACCTTGGTGTCACCAACTCGGCAGCATTTCAGCTGTGCAGATGTTATCAGCAGTCTATTGTAACGCTTTTGTCACACATGAACTATTTTATTAACATTCATGTAGAATTGATCAAATGTGTGATTTTCTAATATAAATGTGAAGGATCTCAAGAAAATTTCATTTAGTGGAAGGGTCTGTTGTTTGCGGTTTACATGATTGATGATGGTATGAAAAAAGTACATGATGCACATGATGTTGCAAAAATAACACACTATAAACATTCTACTCAATTTAAATTATTCTGTTTACCCTGACAAAGTGAATTATAGCATGACATTGATGTTTAAGTATTAAACTCTTACCATAGGGATATTTGGTGTCCAGTTTGTTCTCCGCTACTCTTCTCCAAGGCAAGAAGTCATCGTTGCAACCGTTGGGCATTCCATTGTAGCCAATACCCACTATTTTGTTCTCCTGGTTCACTATACACGCCCCAACCTGGGAGAGAGACAGTCACTGTTTGACTAACAACTCTGAATGATCTCTTTTCAATACATAAAATTAAATCCTGATTTTACGACAGAAAATGAATTTTATTTCAAAATTCAACAATTTTTATTACACACCAAAGTATATTCTAATAAAGGCCGTTCTGCAAATAATAATCTCTAAACCCTCTCTATCTACTTTATCATTCTGTTTTCTATATTTTCAATTTGGTAAGAACATCAAACATCAAATAACTTTTAAATCAATATCAAACAAGCTGACAATTCTACTTGAATTTTTTAAACCAAATTACTAGGTTTAATCACTGAATAATAAAAAATACCTTAGAAAAAGGGAAAAAGAGAAGTGCACAGGACGTACAGCTAAACCAATGAGGGCCTTGGGAAGATCATTTTATATTTACCATATTTTTATCCTCAATTAATACATACACACATAATAAAGAAAGAAAGAAACATATAGAAAGAAAGAAAGAAAGAAAGAAAGAAAGAAAGAAAGAAGGAAAAAAAAGAACGAAATGGTCTGGCTGTGGAGTGGCATGCCTGAGAGTTGGGATCCTTGCTGCGCTGTGCTGACAGGAAAGCTATGGCCATAAAGTATTCCGACCACTCCAGATAGTCTTCTCTCTTCTTGTTCTCATCTCTGCCAATACAGAATCCAGGCAAAGATTAACATCATAGTTTTAAATACAATTTTTCTTTTTCATACAGAAATTCAAGAAGTACCCTAACCCCTTTTATTTATTTATTTATTTATTTATTTATTTACCTCTAACCCCATCCCATGACCTTCTTTGATCAACTTAGTTATGGCTTAGTTATTCTGAAATCGCTGATGCTCAGTACATGTATATTTCAACCTCAGCTAAGTACCAGTATCTGCATGGTGAAATAATGCAACTTAATATTTTGGAAGATAGACATTTAATTCATTCTGGAGTAAAAATTCGCCTCGGTCGACATCACTTTTCTGAGGTCATCAAAACAATATATTGTCCTAAGCCAACAGTCAAAAATGCACAGTGTACCTTGGTCTGGAGTTCATGATATATGATATTATAGATAACGTGGAAAGTTCACGTGAAATTAGATAACAATTTATGTCAACGCTTAGGTGAGCAACCCAATGACATGTTTCGTAGAATTGCCACCTTAAGCTAAGATAACACTTACCTGCTTGTTAAACACGGTTTCTTCTCCGGGGTGGACTGAAGTCCATTAGTTGGCGCTGAGCTACAGCGCTTCCGGGTCTCTTCTTCTCGATCTGCCATTTTGCAAGTTGGCGCGAAACTGTATGGGTCAAATATAAGATAATCGGACCTTCGTGTGCTAAAGAGCATGTCAGTGCTTAACGGTCTCTTCTCAAGTTTTACTTTCGTTTCTGCTGTCAGTGTTACGTATTTTTACGATGCACAATCCAGTTTATATAATAACCGTGTGAAATATAACTTTGTGTTTAATTGCTCATACTGGAAAAGTCTTGGTCATACCCTTAGAAAGATCACAATAGACGCAACCGCCACACTACTAATAGCTCTTTGCACCTGTCCTGGGACCCCAGTGAGAGACAGTACGTAGGCCTACGTAGCACACCTGGAGGAGAGAGGTGGAGGCTGAACGAAGAGAGGAGGATCGGGGCCAGGATGGAAAGGGGGTCCTGTCTGTGGCTGGTTGTGGTCCTAAGATTATTTTAATAATTTTTAAATTTTCCAATTTTTCAAAATGAGGCATGGGGAAATCCACCAAACCCAATTTTTTCTACTTTGTAAATTTCCTTTTTAAAATTTTATTTATTAATTTATTTACTTATCTTGTCATATGCCTCATCTTGTCTCCATGGTTGGCGTCATTGGTTGCTGAACCTAAAAATATCTACGTGTAGGCTATAACCCTTAAAACAAGGGCCTACCAAAATAGTCTACCCTAATGAACAATAATATCAGACATGTATGTATAATCGAACGCATGCAGATATTTCATGACTTAAATGTAGGCCCTTTTCTACACAGGATTTACCCATCAAAATTATTTGTTTTCTCGAGAAAGGAGCAAATTGCGCTTACCATTCATTACAAAACCCGTCCCGGCACTTAATTAGATTTGTTGCTTGAATACACATGTACAAGCTTAATGTTATGGTTTAGGCCTATATTAGTTCTAAATGGCTTTTCAGTAAGTAATAGTAATCTAATTTAATTGCAGAAAATGCGCAACACCTAGCTAGACTGCTGAAGTAGCATGTTTTATGCTGACATTGTTTCCCAGTGGATCAGTAATGTGTTGACTGAAAATTACTAATCTATGGGTTTCTTGCGTCCATGTATTAGGCCTAAAATATTAATATTTGTGATGTGTGTAGTGATAGTGGCCTAGTCTTACACATGTTCAAGCGTGATGCTGCTTACTATCGTAATAAAGAACACGCCACTATTTGATACTGACATGGAACACAGATGTGCGTTTTAAGCCCTTGCAAAGAATCGGTCCGTATGAGTCGTATGTGTCGTCCAGGGGCGGATCCATGATGCGAAGCCGAATGAATGGCCCCGAAAATTTTGATATGTCAGAGGGCTACCTAATNCCCCCTGGCATTTTGCTCAGGCTACGGCCCTGTAATGGTGCCATTTAGTTGATTCGGTTTAGACCTGATTTAGCTTGTCAAAATTCTCATTTGAAGATAGGACCATTGGTGTGATTAAAAAAAAAATAGAAAGGGGGGGGGGGGGTGCAGCTTAATTACTCGTATGAAACCGCCCTGTTTTCAGCGTATTAGAATGAAGATAAAAGCAGCGCCATCTACCTCCGGTTTGTGTGCGTACTAGAGACGTATATGACGTTAAGTCTGCGTATGGGCAATATTTCAGGCTAGGTGTGACAGTGCTTTAACTCCAAGTTTATGACCGCATGGAAAATGAATTTTGGCCCACTCCCATGATCACAATTGTTGCCAGTCCAGTGTGACCAGCAAAAATTCATACGATAAAGCAGTCTTTGCACACATTTACTGTTAATATAAGGTATGGGTCCTAAGCAGCCTAACTGAAACTAAACTAAACGAAGCCCAAACTTTTCATTCAAAAGCAATGCAGTATTCACATGTTTCCATCCCCATTAAAACAAATCAAAGCTCGTCACCGGGTCAAAACACTGTCATATTTTAACAACAAAACTGCTATTAAGATTTTTGTGAAATGCACAGTGCAAAGCGATGAGTTGACAGTGGGTGCCATAAGTATGGTGCTTAGCCACGTCATTTATATAATGTGATATTATCTAGCCGCAGTTTGCGTGTGGCGACATTATTTCTCTACAAAATATACATATACGTGCTATAACTTCATAACTAAAGAATCAAGTGGAAAAAGAGAGAGATCCACTTTTAACTCTAAAACAATGCATTTGGACGGGCTTCTGCAGGTTATCGGAGAGTTTGGTACTTACCAGAGACGACAGTATTTTCTGGTATGTCTTGTTAGGTTATATGCAATATTACCCCTACTGGCGACGGTGTTCCTGGCGGCAACGCCCAAACACCACTGTAAACTGCCCGCTGAGCACGTGGCGCGCGCGGAGAGGGTCTACGGCAACCTTTCCCACGAGGAGCTGCTGAACCTGTCCATCCCTTGGGAAGAAAACGGCGGCCAACTGACTAGAAGCAGTTGTAAGCTTTATCCATGGACAAGGCCTAACCAAACTCTCACCTCCTATAATGAGACGCACTCTGTTCCAAGTGTTAACGAGACAGAAAGCATAGCGTGTCCTCTGGGACTGGAATATAGCCAGGATATTTATACATCAACGGTGGTGTCAGAGATAGGATGTGGAAATGTATCTTTTAGACTGGGTTCCCATCCCTAGATCGATCTAACAGGATTGGTCCATCTCCACAGAGTTTCTCGCTTAATTGCTTTCAGCTTAAGTGGTTTAGATGTCTGGGACGCCTACTGCTATACGATAGTTAATTACCCCCTATCAGCTTCAGTAGGCGTAACAGACATCTTAGCCACTTCAGTTAATTGCAATTAAGCGAGAATCCCCTTGGAGATAGATCGATCCAAATATTTGGGAACCCAGTCATAGTCTCTGGGAAAGGTCTCTTAACACACTTAAGATTTAGATACATGATGTGCTCGTGTGTAAGTTGGTATTTTATCAGCATAGTGAGCACAGCGGCTAGTTTATTCTCAGATCGTCCTGACATTGACAAACTGTACATATCTAAAACAAGAGCTTCCTCATATACCAACTTCATTTGATCTTATATAAGATCGATCTATCCCCTGCGTTATCTTCAGTTTGATTTGAGCTGTGGAAGAGAGTGGATGGTGGGCGCCAGCCAGTCCGCGTTCTTTGTAGGGAAAGTGGTGGGAGACGCTTTAAGTGGGACCATAAGTGATAGGTGAGTTTGCTTTGGACCAAGTCAATTAATTATGGACATTTTAATTCACTTTCATTTTTTGTTAGGTATACTTAAATGCTTATAAATATAATGTTCTTCTTGTTTGCTATTTTACTGATGGTGGGTATATACATGTATGCCATGGCAGCACTGTTCTGAAAACGCCAAACATGACTCGAAAACCTTGGTGATAAAGATGGCACCGTTCAGTGGAAAATAATGATTATCTATAAACGCAATTTTGGAGTTTAGATACGTGGTTATTTCAACCAAAATAACAATTTACAAACGGGAAGTATTCCTGACATGTTCTTCTTTAAATATCCTTTATCTTTCAAGAACCTCATATTTCAGAAGTGATGTCTGTTTCAGGTTCGGCAGACGACCTACGTTCCTGGTGGCCGTAATGTTGTCGGTGTCAGTGGGTGTATAGTTACCGCTTTGTCTCCCTCCATGACGGTGTATATAGCGTCTCTAGGTCTGCAGGGGATCATCACCGGATGTGTTTTCTTCTCAATATACACTCTAGGTATGCTGACGAGAGACAGAGAGATTAACCCCATGTTTTTACAGCTAGTGACGAATTAAGATACCTTTTTCCCGTAATTTATTAAGTTTCTGTTATTTACCCTACGCTCTCAGAATTTCTTTCTTTCTTTATTTCTTTATTTATTTTTTGCAGGAGTTGAATTTGTGGGCCCGAGTAAGCGTAAACTAGCCGGTTTTGGTATAATGTATTTCTTTAGCTTTGGTTACTTCTACATCGTGCTGTTTGCCTACTTCATAAAAGACTGGCGCCACCTGAATCTGGCGTTGATAGTGCCCGGGTACCTTTTTGGCCTTTATTATTTGTAAGTAAGATCAGAATATTAACGATGCTAATAATAATAATAAGACTTATTTATAGTCTAAAATCCATATAAAATGTTTAATAGGCTTGGATAGCACTTGGGGTTGCACGGTGCTTGTGTGATACTACTGAGTACTCTTAAACTGCTCTATCAATAATTATCATCAGCAGCTGATCTTTATCTATTTTCATTCTTGTAAATTTAGCAATCGTTCTCTTGGCTAAATTCATGTCGTTTGCGTTTTCACTTCGATTAAAAAGTATTTACATAACATTTACTAAGATCATATGTGAAGGGAGTAACAGGCCTAGCCACAGTTGTTGAATAAGAAAGCTTAGTCAAACTGACTAAAGTTTTGTCCTCGGAGATACAACATTGGTCAAAAAGGTTGTCCTACCCCCATTTCCNGCCTACTTCATAAAAGACTGGCGCCACCTGAATCTGGCGTTGATAGTGCCCGGGTACCTTTTTGGCCTTTATTATTTGTAAGTAAGATCAGAATATTAACGATGCTAATAATAATAATAAGACTTATTTATAGTCTAAAATCCATATAAAATGTTTAATAGGCTTGGATAGCACTTGGGGTTGCACGGTGCTTGTGTGATACTACTGAGTACTCTTAAACTGCTCTATCAATAATTATCATCAGCAGCTGATCTTTATCTATTTTCATTCTTGTAAATTTAGCAATCGTTCTCTTGGCTAAATTCATGTCGTTTGCGTTTTCACTTCGATTAAAAAGTATTTACATAACATTTACTAAGATCATATGTGAAGGGAGTAACAGGCCTAGCCACAGTTGTTGAATAAGAAAGCTTAGTCAAACTGACTAAAGTTTTGTCCTCGGAGATACAACATTGGTCAAAAAGGTTGTCCCACCCCCATTTCCATGTACTTTTATTTACAAATGATTACTTCACAGCTGTACATTGTTAGAAATAGTACTTTTTATTCCAGATACCGTGCCTAACATGATTAATGGTTCCAAAAATACAACATAGTAGTGAAAGTATACACATTTTATACCATTTAGTAAAATTTATAAGAGGCACCCCCTCAAATACAATGTTTCACTGTGATTTCTGCAGATGTAAAGAAATGTCTATTAAATTGAAAAGGCGCTATCAAATGTCATCAAATTCACACACAACTAGCATTTGGGTGTGCTTGTTAAAGGTCACGCGCCTAATAGCGTGTGTGTCTACCGTGTAGTGCAATTACTGCCTGTAGACGGCGCGGCAAGCCTTCAACACGGGTAACAATTCTGTTTTATGTGATATTGTCATATTCTTCTTAAACAGCTTGGGGAAGTTGGTCCTCGTTTTTATGGGCTTGGTTCTCCTCTGCATTGCACACTCCAATTCATGTCACAGTTGATTAGTGAGGTTAATACCAGGGCTCATAGATGGTGGTTCCATCATTAGAGCATTGTGTTTCTACAACAAATCACTTGCCAGGCGAGAGATGTGAGCAAGTGTGCAACCATGATGAAGCCTGGAGTTAACCCCAAAGTTAGTTCTTGAAGATGGAGTGAGATATCAGCTGCGAATGCTACGTTCAGTGATCCCACAGGCACCTGAACCTGGCCATCCATCACTAATAGGAAGTCGATTTTGATGCAGAATCAAGTTATTTCTTGTATCCCATCGATGGTCAAATGAAGGTCTGTAGACATGTTGAAAAATGCCTCTTGGAAGGGTGTGTTCAGGTTAATATCGCCTGAGGTGTTAGATCAGTCCGCATTTGGAGAACATTCCCAGCCCATGGTATTAGTGCATTGTTCCTTTCTGAACAAAACGTAACTGGGGCATTTTACGGTAACATTCTCAACAGATAGCTCACTCCATTTGCAAGAGGTTTCTTCAGGGATGCTACCGGCTTCATTGTGACAACACGCTTGCTCACAGCTCTTGTCCGACAAGCAATTTGTTGCAGAACCAGAGGGCTCTGAGGACGGGACAACCGTCTTTGAGCCCTGATATAAATCCTACTGAGCACCTGTGGCATTAATTGTAATGTGCAATGCAGAAGAGAACCAGTTCCCAAATAACCTGGACCAATACCGCCACGCACTTTAGGATGAATGGGACAATATCCCTCAAAACAGAATTGTTACCCTTGTTGAAGGCTTGTCGCGCCGCCTACAGGAGATAATTGCAGTACTCGTCAGGCAGACACGCTATTAGGCATGTGACCTTTAACGAGCACATCCTAATGCTAATTGTGTGTAAATTTGGTGACATTTGATGGCGTCTTTTAAATTTAATAGACATTTCTTAACATCTGTGGATTTCAGGGGGTACCTGTTATAAAATTGACTAAATGGTATAAAATGTGCATATTTACGCCACTATTTTGTATTTTCTGAACCATTAATCACGTGAGACATGATATCTGGAATAAAAAGCAGCGTTTATAAAAATTTACATCTGTGAGGTGATCATTTGTAAATATAAGTACATGGAAATGGGGGTCGGACAACCTTTTTGACCAATGTTGTATTACACGTACTAGTTTTTCCCCAAGATATCCTGCTGTCTGTATCTTACATTGTACAAGTCATATAGAAGTCAAGTTTTATCCCAAGATAACCCGATGTTAATATTTTGCGGCATAAATCTTAAAAGAATGTCTTCGAAGCCTGTTTTCACCTCAAAGCCAGGACAGATGGCGTTGAAGTTACAGGTACCAAAGCGTCTACTAATTTAACTTTCCTTTCATTTCAAACCATAGAAAACTGCAGTTTCATCGCTGTTAATTTCAGCGTTCTTCCCGAGTCTTTCCGTTGGCTGCTGTCCAGAAATCGCACCGAAGAAGCAGTCGACTTGATCCGGGCAATTTCTAGGACAAATATCAAATCTGAGCCTGATGCCGAGACTATTCAGTCCGTCCTAGACGACGAAGATGAGGTGGTCCTTTCTCCCCGGACTTACACCCCTATAGACATGGTGCGAACATGGAGGCGGGCGGCGTTGACAGCTAACGTGTGCTTTAACTGGTGAGATGACATTTAATTTAAATCATCCGCGGAGCAGTGTGGCGTCTCTTCAAGGCGTTAAAGCAATCCAATCTACTTCTTTATCTTTTTTTTTTTAGTTTTTTGTTTAATTTGTCAAACCGAGTTCATTTCTGTCTCAGCTGCTGTTTACTTTCCAGGATGGTCAACAGCATGGTCTACTACGGATTGACGCTGAACCTGGAAAGTTTAGGCGGTAATCTGTACCTGAACTTCCTGTTGATGGGGGCCATTGAGTTCCCGGGCTATACCCTGGCTCTGGTCCTCCTAGATAAGATCGGGAGGAGAAGAACGCTGTCAATGTTCATGGTTCTCGGGGGAGTGGCTTGCATAGTTTCCGGCTCTCTACCTGCAGGTACTTTAAGTTACCTCTTGTAATTTCACAGTATGTCAGATTTTATCCGTCTGCAGAAGAACCAGAGTAACATTTGTTTAAGAATCTCAAATATCTTACTTAGTTTGGATCCTAGATGGCCTGCACCCTCTACCAGAGCGACAGATTGATTTTTCACAAGATATTCACAGATAATGAGGCCATTCAGAATGAGAAGAGTCGAGTGCTAGCTAGGCCACGACCTAAATATGGTGGTGGACCTCATGAAAGGAAGACCGCTTAATCCGGTAATGGTCTCTCCGCCTCTCACATGCGTTGTCCCTGCAGGGGCACAGCAATTAAATCTCGGCTCAATTCAACCAGTCAAAGGACGACGCGTGGGGAGCCGTGAGAGAGGCGGAGAGACCATTACAGTTACAGGATTAAGTGGTCTTCCTTTCATGTAGGTCCGCCATATTTAGGTCGTGGCCTAGCTAGGACTCGGCTCTTCTCCTTCTGAATGGCCTCAATGTCTTTATACAAATCTCTGGTTTTGGAAAATTTCCCTATAATATCTGCCACCCTGGTAGAGAATAGATGGGCTGTATATCCCTCCTTGGTATGAACTTGGTGGGATATCCCACCCATAGTCTCGTTATCAGAGTTTGAAAAATACCTTAAGATGGACCATCTGTGTCACGTTGTTATCCTTTAAAGATTTAGGCTCATATATCGGCCGCTTACCTCTGTGTCAAATTAGTCGAAAGGGCATAGGGCTATCTGTCCATTTTTATTTTGAACGTGTTCTCGGCTAATTTATAGTGAGCCGGCTTACATGTGAACATATGAGTGGTTTTAGGAGACAAAATGCTCTTAAAGAAGCAATCGCACTCATTTTCATTCAGAGGGTTTATTGTATTATATTAATTCTTCAGATTTACATTGGTTAATACTATAACACGGTAGTGTTATACAATTTGTTTTTGTCTTTATGACGCATGCATAATCACGGAAGAGAAACCAAAATTAGAAACAAAAGTCCCGGTAAAGTAATAAATTAAGATAATTAAAGGTACACCTCTTTCAGTTGACAGAAAAGGGAGACCCGGTGACTATCCTAAATTCGTAGAGGTACTTAGGCCTCATTATTTCCATTTGGTTCTTTTGATCTCTTCCACCAAAAACAAGTCGCCACACCTGGGATAATTTCGGTAAAGACAGTCCCAGGTCCGAGCGTTATATAACCTTCCAACCCGGAGAATATATCCATGTGCAGGGCAGCAGTGTCAAGTGTCGAAGACCCTGTACTTAGTTTTATTATCGATTGTTTAGTTAGGACATAGTTATTTACGTTACTGATAGTTTACGGCACGCAGGAATCGGTACGACTCCCTATAAGAACTGGGCCTCTAAGATAGAAAGAGAGAGACCCCGGGAGATCGTCGTGACTGTCCCTGCCTGCGTGCCAGATTGTAGCCCGTCAACAAATAAAGATCTTCATGAGTTACCATTGATGTCTTCGGTGTTTTCAAGTTTGCTACTCGCTCAGAATTAAGTAACCAACCGGGTTACAATACTAACGTTAGCAGTCTTGGGTAAGATGGGCATTTCCGCGTCTTTTACCATCATCTACGTGGTGACGGCCGAGGTTTATCCGACGGTAATAAGGTAAGGCGACCTTAACCAGCATATCCACATGTCCCTTTCTTTGAATGGTAGATAGTGTTAAAAGTTACAGCGACGAATTTTCTAGTGCGATCTTCAGTAAAGATTTATCTTTAGTTTGTTTAATTTTTGTTAAACACATAGCAGGTACTTGAATTTTTCAGAACCATAGCTATGGGGATGTCATCTACCTTCGCCCGAGTGGGCAGCGCCGTGACACCTCAAGTATTTTTACTTAAAGAAACAATTGCTGCACTGCCTTTTATCATCCTCGGAGTTGAATCGATCCTCGCAGGACTGCTGTCGCTGTTGTTACCGGAGACCATGTGTAGAGATCTCCCACAGAATCTAGAGGAATTTGACAACTTGTTGGCGTCTCCCAGGTTGTTAAGCTTAATACGGATGTCCGTTTTTTTTTTTTTTTTTTTTTTTGTTGAAAACGGTAATAAAGATTGGAATCAATAAATGTGTTAGTAATACTGCGTTCAAAAAAGGTTTATTCAAGAGAAAAAAAAGGTACATTGCAGATAACAGTATATGCTTCCCTTAAGAGTGCAAAAGAAAAATACACATTATATATAAATCAGTATATTCAAAAAGGGAAGATAAGAATGAACAGTTACATTTAAAACTAGAAAAGCACTCCGAGAGCGTAGACCTCCGCCAAGGCAGCAAAGTCTCCACCCAATGCCGTTTCACCACTAAATTTTCATTCTATAATGATTTAGTTTTTTTTTTTTTTTTTTTTGATTATTGATTATAGATTGATTATAGATCCGGATCACCACCAAATATTAATCATCTTTTCCTTGGCCCACTTCTGACAGTTCCTGAAAATTTCATGGTTTTTGGTTTTTGAATATTGATTATTGATCTGGATCACCACCAAAAACTAATCACTTCTAAGTTAACCCATTCGAAGTTCATCCATAACTTTTTGAGTTATGTTGATGACAAACAAACAAACAAACAAACAAACATGGGGTAAAAACATAACCTCCTTGGCGGAGGTAATGAATATGCTAATACATAGACATGCAAATAAATTTAAAAAAAGGAACAATGAAATGTCCATAGAATCATTTACACACATAAAATTTAAAAAAAATAAGACTAGTAATGACTGATAAATTAAAGATAAAGGCCGCGATAACTATACAAAAACCTGATAAAGACCGTTTTTTTCCAAATGATAATTAAATGTTTTAATCATATTATCATTTTTACTTACAGAGTCTGCAAGGGAACAAAACTGAAAGAGTCAAGAAGGAAGACGAGAAATATAAAGGAAAATATTAAGACGGCAGACAACGAGTGGAGCGATGCTAAAGACTTCTGCCTCGCGCACGGCAACACCACTGACATCTAGCGGAAATATTGAATTCACAGCAAAAATATATGATTATACAGTAAAAATAAAAAGACGTCGTGAACTGGACGTCTGCAGTCTTGTGTCATCTGTTTCTTGAGGTGAAAATCAACATATCTACAATCAGCGTCGTATCCAGGGACTTTTTCAAACAGTTTTGAAAATCCTGACACAAATATATGCATGCATTAATCATTATTCATCATCATCATTACTACTACTATGTTTATTAATATTAGCTTACCATTTATCGATAGATTTTCTACTTTTTCTTCTGAACTCGGGGGATTTTATTGTAAATATATTCTAAAGTTTTTGAGACCTTGCAAGTAGCTTTACTTTTTAAAGATATGTAATTTTTCTTCATTCGCAAATGCAATTTTAACGTCATTTGTATTTGGTGTTCTTTTTAAATACTCACTTAATCCAGAAAAAACAGAACTTAGAGGATTAAACTTGTAGTTTATTTTTTACAAAGAGGAATTTTACAATATTATTAATGATACTATTTATGCAAAACCTTTCACAGAATATAGATTTAGTAAAAGTTGTTCCGGATTTTCATGAATTTCATCCCAAAATCAATAACATATTGTTAAAAAAGGGAAATACGTGGTTTGAGGGGTTTGGCAAAGTAGTTATTGTTTACACTAATAAAGTTTTGATCTGTGCTGTCTTCCTTATGACTGATAATTGTCTCAAGACCGAATTTGGTTGTCAAGGTTACTGGCTCCCTCATCATCAGTTCCCTCTGATTGTGTTTAGTTGTCAAGGTTACAGGCTCCCTCATCAACAGTCCCCTATGACTCTGTGTTTGGTTGTCAAGGATACCCCATTTCTCTGAATTAAAACTGCAAACCATATTTGATAACAAATTGCCTTCCACGTCATTGAAGATTCCGATTTTGACTTAATACCCTTGTCACACTAGAGGCGGAATAAGCTGGAATGTAGTCGGAATGAGAATTCTTTGTATATTCCTGGATATTCGAATCGCGTTCTAAAATTTCTTGAGTGCATTCCAGATAAATGGGCCCATTATTGTGTCCGGTCGTCATGTTTTGCTCGTGCTCAAAATTTTCCAAGTGCATTCCAGGTGGAGAAATATCAAATTGCATTCTAAGTGTATTCTAACTGAACTATGAGTGCATTCTTAATATTCTTACGGCATTCCAACGGCTTTCGAAACATTCTGATCGCGTTCGAGGGAGAACCAAAATGACAAGACACTTCAAACCCTGCTAGAATGTTCTGCATGTGCCTCAAATGAGCCGGAATGCAACTCGAATGCATTTCGATGGCTTCTAAATATTTTGACTACATTCTGACAGCATTATCGATATTCCTAGTTTTCCAACTACATTCGAGCTGCATTTGAGAGCTAATACACCTGAAAAGTGCACGAATCATTCCGGGCGGCTTCAAAACACACACAAAACTAAACACGAAAAACGTCAGATTCCAAGGTAGTTGAACTCCAAAGACACAAGACACTCCTGCCCCCAAATCCGCCACTGTCGTCGATTATACGCACAACTTACTCGCATGAAACCACCCTGTTTTCAGCGCATTAGAATGAAGATAAAAGCAGTTCATTGAACTATTTTAAACATGCTCAAAACACTTAATCTCCTTCCGGTTCTAGACGTATATTACGTAAGGTCTGTGTAAGGGCAGAATTTTCAGGCTATAGGTGTGACAGTGCCTTAACTCCAAGTTTACGACCGCATGGAAAATAAATTTTGACACACTCCCATGATCACAATTGTTGCAGGTCCTGTGTGACCAGCAAACATTCATACGATAAAGCAGTCTTTGCACGTACTTACTATTCATATAAGGTATGGGTCCCAAGCAGCCAAATTGAAACTAAAATAAACTAAGCCTAAACTTTTTTATTTAACAACAAAGCTGTACGCACATGTTTCCACCCCCATTAAAATGAACCAAAGTTCGTCTTCGGTTCAAAACACTGTAATATTTAAACAAATCAAAAAGAAAAAAAAAACTGCTATATAGATTTTTGTGAAATGCACAAGAATTGACAATGGGTACGATAAGTATGGTGCGCAGTCAGGTCATTTATATAATGTGACATTATCATTGCGTGAGGTGACGTAATATCTCTACATAAAATATATAGGCTACATAGGGGCCTATACGTGCATAAACTTCATAACTAAAGAATCAAGTAGAAAAACAGATATCCACTTTTGACTCTTAAACAATGCATTTGGACGGGCTTCTGCAGGTTATCGGAGAGTTTGGTACTTACCAGAGACGACAGTATTTTCTGGTATGTCTTGTTGGGTTATATGCAATATTACCACTACTGACCACTGTGTTCCTGGCGGCAACGCCCAAACACCACTGTAAACTACCCGCAGATTACGTGGCACGCGCGGAGAGGATCTACGGCAACCTTTCCCGCGAGGAGCTGCTCAACCTGTCCATCCCTTGGGAAGAAAACGGCGGTCAACTGACTCGAAGCAGTTGTAAGCTTTATCCATGGACAAGGCCTAACCAAACTCTCACCCCCTATAATGAGACGTACTCTGTTCCAAGTGTTAACGAGACAGAAAGCATAGCGTGTCCTCTCGGACTGGAATATAGCCAGGATATTTATACATCAACAGTGGTGTCAGAGGTAGGCGTAGAAATGTATCTTTTAATTCAGTTATCACCATGATGTGTACGTGTGCAAGTTGGTATACTATCAGGCAAGCAGTGTATAGTGATCACAGCGGCTAGTTTTCTTTTTGGTTTATCTTTAGATCGTCCTAACATTCACAAACTGTGCATATCTAAAACAAGAGCTTTCTTATATACCAACTTCATTTAATCTTATATAAGATCGATTCCCTGCGTTATCTTCAGTTTGACTTGAGCTGTGGAAGAGAGTGGATGGTTGGTGCCAGCCAGTCTGCGTTCTTTGTTGGGAAGATGGTGGGAGACGCTTTTACTGGGACTGTAAGTGATAGGTGAGCGTGCTCTGAACCAAGTTAATTAATAATGTACACTTAAAGTCTCTATTTTGTTTTTTGGGTATAATTATATGGTTTTAATGTTCTCCTTGTTTGTTATTTTACTGATGGTGGGTATATACATGTATGCCATGGCAGCACTGTTCTGAAAACGCCAAACATGACTCGAAAACCTTGGTGATAAAGATGCACCGTTCAGTGGAAAAAAATGATTATCTATAAACGCAATTCTAGAGTTTGTGATTATTTCAACCAAAATTACAAGTTACAGGTGGGAAGTATTCCTGACATGTTTATTTTTAAATATTCATTTGTTTTCAAGAACCACATATTCCAGAAGTCATGGCTGTTTCAGGTTCGGCAGACGACCTACGTTCTTGGTGGCCGTGATGTTTTCGGCATCAGTGGGTGTAGTTACCGCTTTGTCTCCCTCCATGACGGTGTATATAGCGTCTCTAGGTCTGCAGGGGTTCGTCAGCGGATGTGTGCTCCTCTCTATATACACTCTAGGTATACTGAAAACTGAATGAAAGCGAGAGAGAGAGAGAGATTAACCCCATGTTTTGACAGCTAGTGACGCATTCAGACATCTTTTTTCCTGTAATTTATTAAGTCTCTAGTATTTACCCTATGCTCCCAGAAAATTTTTTATCTTGCAGGAATTGAATTTGTGGGCCCAAGTAAGCGTAAACTAGCCGGTTTTGGTATAATGTATTTCTTTAGCTTTGGCTACTTCTACATCGTGCTGTTTGCCTACTTCATAAGAGACTGGCGCCACCTGAATCTGGCGCTGTTAGTGCCCGGGTACCTGTTTGGGCTCTATTATTTGTAAGTAAGATCAGAATATTAACGATAATAATATAGAAATAAAATAATAATAATAATAATATTTATTTATAGTCTAAAATGCATATAAAATGTTTAATAGGCTTGGATAGCACTTAGCGTTGCACGGTGCTTGCGTGATACTACTCTTAAACTGCTCTATCAATAATTAGCATCAGAAGCAGCTGATCTTTATCTTTATGTATTTTCGTTCTTTTAAATGTAGCAGTCGTTCTCTTGGCTAAATTTATGTCGATCGCGTTTTCACTTCAATTAAAAAGTATTTATGTGAAGGGAGTAACAGGCCTAGCCACAGTTGTTGAATAAGAAAGCTTAGTCAAACTGACTAAGGTTTTGCCCTCGGAGATAGTAGATGCTCAAGTCCTATAAAAGTCGAGTGTTTTTCCCCCAAGATATCATGATGTCTATATCTTACATTGTACAAGTCATATAGAAGTCGAGTTTTATCCCAAGATAACCCGATGTTAATATTTTGCGGCACAAATCATGAAAGAATGTCTACGAATCCTGTTTCACCTCAAAACCAGGACAGATGGGGTTGAATTTATAGCGTATACTAATTTAACTTTCCTTTCATTTCAAACCATAGAAAACTGCAGTTTCATCGCTCTTAATTTCAGCGTTCTTCCCGAGTCTTTCCGTTGGCTGCTGTCCAGAAATCGCACCGAAGAAGCAGTCGACTTGATCCGGGCAATTTCTAGGACAAATATCAAATCTGAGCCTGATGCTGAGACTATTCAGTCCGTTCTAGAGGATGAGGATGAGGTGGTCCTGTCTCCCCGGACTCACACCCCTGTAGACTTGTTGCGAACATGGAGGCGGGCGGCGTTGACAGCTAACGTGTGTTTTAACTGGTGAGATGACATTTAATTTAAATCATCCGCGGAGCAGTGTGGCGTCTCTTCAAGTCGTAAAAGCAAGCCAATCTAATTCTTTATCTCTTTTTTTTTAGTTTTCAAACCGAGTTTATTTCTGTCTCAGCTGCTGTTTACTTTCCAGGATGGTCAACAGCATGGTCTACTACGGGTTGACGCTGAACCTGGAAAGTTTAGGCGGTAATCTGTACCTGAACTTCCTGTTGATGGGGGCCATTGAGTACCCGGGCTATACCCTGGCTCTGGTCCTCCTAGATAAGATCGGCAGGAGGAGAACGCTGGCAGCGTCCATGGTTCTCGGGGGAGTGGCTTGCATAGTTTCCGGCTCTCTACCTGCAGGTTTTTAGAGTTATCTCTTTTAATTTTTTATATAGCTCATTGTAGGCCTATGTTATATTTTATCCGTCTTCAGAAAAACCAGAGTAACATTTGTTTTAGCATCCAAAATATCTTACTTATTTTGGATCCAAGATGTATCCTCTACAAGGGCGACAGATTGATTTTTCGCAAGATATTCACAGATATGTCTTTAAATAAATAGGCGGTTCTCTGGTTTTTAAATTTTTTTCTATAATATCTGTCACCCTGGTAGAGAATAGATGGTCTGCATATCCCTCCTTGGTATGAACTTGGTGGGATATCCCATCTATAGTCTCGTTAGCAGAGTTTGAAAGATTCCTTAAGATGGCGGTAGACCACATGTGTCACGTAGTTTTCCTTTAAAGATTTAGGCTCATATATCGACCGTTTACCTCTGTGTCAAATTAGTCGAAAGGGCATAGGGGTATCTGTCCATTTTATTTTAAACGTGTTCTCGGCTAATTTATAGTGAGCCGGCTTACATGTGAACATATGAGTGGTTTTAGGAGACAAAATGCTCTTAAAGAAGCAATCGCACTCATTTTCATTCAGAGGGTTTATTGTATTATATTAATTCTTCAGATTTACATTGGTTAATACTAACGTTAGCAGTCTTGGGTAAGATGGGCATTTCCGCGTCTTTTACCATCATATACGTGGTGACGGCCGAGGTTTATCCGACGGTAATAAGGTAAGGCGACCTTAACCAGCATATCCACATGTCCCTTTCTTTGAATGGTAGCTATTGTTCAAAGTTACAGCGATCTTCAGTAAAGATTTAGCTTTAGTTTGTTTAATTTTAGTCAAGCACATAGCAGGTACTTGAATTTTCCAGAACCATAGCTATGGGAATGTCATCTACCTTCGCCCGAGTGGGCAGCGCCGTGACACCTCAAGTATTTTTACTTAAAGAAACAATTGCTGCACTGCCTTTTATCATCCTTGGAGTTGAATCGATCCTCGCAGGACTGCTGTCGCTGCTGTTACCGGAAACCATGTGTAGAGATCTCCCACAGAATCTAGAGGAATTTGACAACTTGTTGGCGTCTCCCAGGTTGTTAAGCTTAATACGGATGTCCGTTTTTTTTTCATTGAAACACTAATTAAAATCGGAATCATTAAATGTGTTAATAATACCGCGGTCTTTAAAAAACAAGGTTTATTCAAGAGAAAAAAGGAGGAAAAAAAAGAGAAAAAAAATTGCATAAAGCAGTATTTGCTTTTCGTAAGACTACAAAAGAAAAAAACATTATATATATAAAAAACAGGAAAAAAGGAATGAATACAGTCACATTTAAAATGAGTATGCTAATACATAGACATGCAAATAAATTTAAGAAGGAAGAAAAAATGTCTATAGAATCATCAACACACATAAAGATTTAAAAATAAGACTGGTAATGACTGATAAATTAAAGACAAATGCCGCGATAACAGTAAAAAAACTGATAAAGACAATTCTAAATGAATTTAAATGTTTGTAATCATGTTATCATTTATATTTACAGAGTCTGCAAGGGAACAAAACTGAAAGAGACAAGAAGGAAGACGAGAAATATAAGGGAAAATATTAAGACGGCAGACAATGAGTGGAGCGATGCTAAAGACTCCTGCCTCGCGCACGGCAACACCTCTGACATCTAGCGTCAAACTTAATTTCACAGCAAAAATATGCTCATACAGTAAAAAAAAAAAACGACGTGAACTGGACGTCTGCAGTCTTGTGTCGTCTGTTTCTTGAGGTGGAAAACTACATATTTATTGCCAATTATCTGCAATCAGCAGGGGATCCAGGGACTTTTGCTGACAGTTTTGAAAGTCCCGACACAAATACATGCGTGCATTTATCATAAATCATCATCATTACTACTACTACTACAGTGTACTACTACTACTACTACTACTACTACTTTTTTGTTTCTTAATATTAGCTCACCATTTATCGGTAGATTTTTCTACTTTTTCTACTGAACTTTGAGGATTTTATAGTAAATGCAACTGGAAGGCTTTGAAACCNAGAAAAAAAAAAAAAAAAAAAAAAAAAAAAAAAAAAAAAACGACGTGAACTGGACGTCTGCAGTCTTGTGTCATCTGTTTCTTGAGGTGGAAAGCTACATATAGATTGCCAATTATCTACAATCAGCAGGGGATCCAGGGACTTTTGCTGACAGTTTTGAAAGTCCCGACACAAATACATGCGTGCATTTATCATAAATCATCATCATTACTACTACTACTACAGTGTACTACTACTACTACTACTACTACTACTACTACTACTACTTTTTTGTTTCTTAATATTAGCTCACCATTTATCGGTAGTTTTTTCTACTTTTTCTACTGAACTTTGAGGATTTTATAGTAAATGCAACTGGAAGGCTTTGAAACCTTTCAAGTTAATTTGACTTTCAGAAGATATTAAATTTTTCATCATTCGCAAATTTTTTACGTTGTTCAAATTTGATGTTCTTTTTGAATACTCATGTGATCCAGAAAAACTTAGCGTAGAAGATTACATTTGTAGTTTAATTTTTTCCAAAGAGGAATTATTCAGTGTTATTTATGATGTTTTTTTTGCAACATTTTTCAAAGAATATAGTTCTATTAATAATTTGAATATTGAATTTTACCATAGCAGTTAGGAGAGGATTCCTCTAGGAGTTGCTCCGGACTTGTGTGAATTTTACTCCAAAAATCAATAACACTTTTAAAAAAGGGAAAATAAGTGGTTTGAGGGGTTTGGCAAAGAAGTTATTGTTTACACTAATAAAGTTTTGATCTGTGCTGTCTTCCTTATGACTGATAATTGTCTTAAGAGCCCGTTTGGTTGTCAAGGTTACAGGCTCCCTNATCAACAGTCCCCTCTGACTCTATGTATGGTTATCAAGGTTACAGGATCGCTCTTCAACAGTCCCCTCTGATTCTGTGTTTGGTTGTCAAAGTTACCCAGTGTCTTAGAAGCACGCTTTGAATTAAAACTGCAAATCACATTTGATTAAAATTGCCTTGCACGTCATACAAGATTCCGTTTTAAACTTTTAACTTCAGTATAGTTTGTGTCTTTATTGATCTCTGCCTTTACTTGACTTAAGTTTCGCAAATAGTTTGTGTCACCAAGTTTTCTTCGTTTGATGAACGGGGAACTTCTACTGACAGCATTTTTTTAAATGATGAAAAGCACACTCAAAACTGAACATGAAAAACGTCAGATTCCAAGGTTGTGGAACTCCACAGCCACAAGTACGTTAAGTACAAAGCTTGTTAATCTTAACGTGCTTTTTTTGGTAAAGATAAGGTGTCCATTCAAAATTATATGTAGACGGAGTAATCACATATCTTTACTGTATTCCTCCCAAATGTACCCAAAGAATATGGAACAGGTGCTGAGCTTACATGTACTTCTGCCTCGATCTGAGTGGTCGATTAATTAGTAAGTCTTCCGATGCACACTGAAATCGGGGCACCCAGTAACTCAGTACTGGGAATTATTTATAGGCACTAAGATATGTACTTATTCCGTGCACATATTATTCTGAGTGTACAGCCGGACGAAATGGTTTTGGCTCAGGAGATGGACCTTCTTGAATTTATTATCTCTTTCTGCGCTTAAGGGTGGGGTATACATACGTAAAAATGTCGGGAACATTTAAAAATTCATCAACAATTTCGGTAACTTCACGTTATGTCACGTTATGTCCGTAAATTCTTATAATACGTTTTGTCAATTCTAAAGAGATAATGTAGGCTTGTTAATTAATCTGATTAAGAAGTTGAGGTCAAGAATTCTGGTTTGATATTAAAGAGTGGGAGTTCCCCAACAGATCAACAGAATGTATCTGGGCAAGCAACGAGTGAACATTAAATGATAGAATCTGGTTATTGTCCTTAGCGTTGGATTTTGTCATTACACGTAAATAATTTGACTACGAATCTGGAACGTAGAAGTGACTAGTTATCCAACCTAAAAGGAAACATCGGTTTCCGCATTTCGAGCCTGTTTGTAATTTTTATTCATCGCGAAATTAGCACGTTTCCGGGCAATACAGTGTGGCCATATCAAATATCACTCCCTCGTCCAATTTTGTGACAACGAGATGGTTCCTGAACATTACAGTATATTTGTCTATTACAAGGTCTGTTGAATTTGTGATGAAAGATATTTAGATTGTTACTAGGGGGCCTATAAATAAATCCAGTGTAATCCATTTGTAACCACGACGGGTGCTGTAGACCGTGAACTTTTGACTGTTTAACCGTTTCCTTTCTCTTATAATCATTAAATATGAACGACGAGTTTGTATTTAAAACTATTTCGATCTGTAATGGATCCTAGGTTAGACCCAGTAAAAAGTAATATGACTGATGCATAACACGTTTCTTATCCAAACATTGCCATAAATGCCACTCCCTACATTGTGAGTACTGCTGGTTTCCTGGTGGCAAGCTAACTGTGTATTGTCAGTCTGTCTGTTAACATTTTTAACTTGGGTAACTGTTCCATGCGTAAGGCTGGCCAGTGTAAAATACAGTGTGCATTTTTTGTATAATAAAATGCGTGAAACGTACTTTCACAGGGACTAATGAGCCCTGAAGATAACTGCAACTACGTGTACTTGTCATAAATGAAAATTATCAAACACAAACCGAAATACTTTCATACAGGCTTTCATCAGACTGATGTGAGTCGATGTTGACACTCACTGACAGCTAGGTGGTGTAGCGGCCAAGACCCTGACGGTGTGAACATATTTGGGCTTATGTTTGAGAATTTTCATTTATGAGTCAACTACCAAGCTAATGAACATTTTTGTACATGTACTTGCTTTTGAAATATCAATACAAAGACCGTGTTAATTCAACAGATGAATTATTAAGTCGTATATTGTAACACTTTGTTACTGATAACCCAACTGCCGATACACTATGCTATATTACATAATAAATTGTCGAAATTTACGTAACAAGACACGCAGAAATATTAAAAGGCAGCGGGCCTTTCAAATGAACAGACACATCAACTGATAGAAAACGTCATTGCTATGATCGTGGAACAACGTAAAATTTTGGTGCAATTTTTTATGATGTTCGCAGCCTCGTCATCAATGTTTATTACGTGGTGTGTAATTTTTTAATTATTACAATTCGGACAATGTATGCAGCACAGGGTTTCTGACTCATGGTACTCCAATGTTCTACCTGGAAAATTGACATATTTGAAGAATTTAAAATACCCAAATATAAAAGAAAGAAGATAATTAATAATTTGAAGCTGGTTTAGAAATCAAAATTTATTTTAGTAATTTGAGATCCTGTCGCTCATATCAGTAACTTTGAGGAAATAAGTTTTCCCTTTATTGTGCCCCAGACGCGGCCGATGGACATAAGTCCTGAGACGATTGATTAACACTCAAAGAGCCCATGGTCGTTTTGCAAATAATCCAATTATGGCGTCCACTTAGAGTAGTACGGGTGTAAAATGATCAATAAGTTAGATATCAATTTTCAATTCAATTTCAATTTNGTTTATTTCTGTCTCAGCTGCTGTTTACTTTCCAGGATGGTCAACAGCATGGTCTACTACGGCTTGACGCTGAACCTGGAAAGTTTGGGCGGTAATCTGTACCTGAACTTCCTGTTGATGGGGGCCATTGAGTACCCAGGTTATACCCTGGCTCTGGTCCTCCTAGATAAGATCGGAAGGAGGAGAACGCTGGCAGCGTCCATGGTTCTCGGGGGAGTGGCTTGCATAGTTTCCGGCTCTCTACCTGCAGGTTTTTAAAGTTATCTCTTTTAATTTTTTAAATAGCTCATAGTATGTCAGATTTTATCCGTCTTCAGAAAAACCAGAGTAACATTTGTTTTAGCATCCAAAATATCTTACTTATTTTGGATCCAAGATGTATCCTCTTCAAGGGCGACAGATTGATTTTTCGCAAGATATTCACATATATGTCTTTAAATAAATAGGTGGTTCTCTGGTTTTAGAAAATTTTTCTATAATATCTGCCACCCTGGTAGAGAATAGATGGTCTGTATATCCCTCCTTGGTATGAACTTGGTGAGATATCCCATCTATAGTCTCGTTACCAGAGTTTGAAAGATTTCTTAAGATGGCGGTAGACCACATGTACGTGTCACGTAGTTTTCCTTTGAAGATTTAGGCTCATATATCGGCCGCTTACCTATGTGTCAAATTAGTCGAAAGGGCATAGGGGTATCTGTCCATTTTTATTTTGAACGTGTTCTCGGCTAATTTATAGTGAGCCGGCTTACATGTGAACATATCAGTGGTTTTAGGAGACAAAATGCTCTTAAAGAAGCAATCGCACTCATTTTCATTCAGAGGGTTTATTGTATTATATCAATTCTTCAGATTTACATTGGTTAATACTAACGTTAGCAGTCTTGGGTAAGATGGGCATTTCCGCGTCTTTTACCATCATCTACGTGGTGACGGCCGAGGTTTATCCGACGGTAATAAGGTAAGGCGACCTTAACCAGCATATCCACATGTCCCTTTCTTTGAATGGTAGCTAGTGTTAAAAGTTACAGCGACGAATTTTCTAGTGCGATCTTCAGTAAAGATTTATCTTTAGTTTGTTTAATTTTTGTTAAACACATAGCAGGTACTTGAATTTTTCAGAACCATAGCTATGGGAATGTCATCTACCTTTGCTCGAGTGGGCAGCGCCGTGACACCTCAAGTATTTTTACTTAAAGAAACAATTGCTGCACTGCCTTTTATCATCCTTGGAGTTGAATCGATCCTCGCAGGACTGCTGTCGCTGTTGTTACCGGAGACCATGTGTAGAGATCTCCCACAGAATCTAGAGGAATTCGACAACATGTTGGCGTCTCCCAGGTTGTTAAACTTAACACGGATGTCCGTTTTTTTTTTTATTGAAACACTAATTAAAATCGGAATCATTAAATGTGTTAATAATACCGCGGTCTTTAAAAAACAAGGTTTTATCAAGAGAAAAAAGGAGGAAAAAAAAGAGAAAAAAATTGCATATAGCAGTATTTGCTTTTCGTAAGAGTACAAAGGAAAAAAACATTATATATATAAAAAACAGGAAAAAAGGAATGAATACAGTCACATTTAAAATGAGTATGCTAATACATAGACATGCAAATAAATTCAAGAAGGAAGAAAAAAATGTCTATAGAATCATCAACACACATAAAGATTTAAAAATAAGACTGGTAATGACTGATAAATTAAAGACAAATGCCGCGATAACAGTAAAAAAACTGATAAAGACAATTCTAAATGAATTTAAATGTTTGTAATCATGTTATCATTTATATTTACAGAGTCTGCAAGGGAACAAAACTGAAAGAGACAAGAAGGAAGACGAGAAATATAAGGGAAAATATTAAGACGGCAGACAATGAGTGGAGCGATGCTAAAGACTCCTGCCTCGCGCACGGCAACACCACTGACATCTAACGTCAAACTTAATTTCACAGCAAAAATATGCTCATACAGTAAAAAAAAAAAACGACGTGAACTGGACGTCTGCAGTCTTGTGTCGTCTGTTTCTTGAGGTGGAAAACTACATATTTATTGCCAATTATCTGCAATCAGCAGGGGATCCAGGGACTTTTGCTGACAGTTTTGAAAGTCCCGACACAAATACATGCGTGCATTTATCATAAATCATCATCATTACTACTACTACTACAGTGTACTACTACTACTACTACTACTACTACTTTTTTGTTTCTTAATATTAGCTCACCATTTATCGGTAGATTTTTCTACTTTTTCTACTGAACTTTGAGGATTTTATAGTAAATGCAACTGGAAGGCTTTGAAACCTTTCAAGTTAATTTGACTTTCAGAAGATATTAAATTTTTCATCATTCGCAAATTTTTTACGTTGTTCAAATTTGATGTTCTTTTTGAATACTCATGTGATCCAGAAAAACTTAGCGTAGAAGATTACACTTGTAGTTTAATTTTTTTCCAAAGAGGAATTATTCAGTGTTATTTATGATGTTTTTTTTTTTGCAACATTTTTCAAAGAATATAGTTCTATTAATAATTTGAATATTGAATTTTACCATAGCAGTTAGGAGAGGATTCCTCTAGGAGTTGCTCCGGACTTGTGTGAATTTTACTCCAAAAATCAATAACACTTAAAAAAAAGGGAAATACGTGGTTTGAGGGGTTTGGCAAAGTAGTTATTGTTTACACTAATAAAGTTTTGATCTGTGCTGCCTTCCTTATGGCTGATAATTGTCTTAAGAGCCCGTTTGGTTGTCAAGGTTACAGGCTCCCTCATCAACAGTCCCCTCGGACTGTGTTTGGTTGTCAAGGTTACAGGTTCCCTCATCAACAGTCCCCTCTGACTCTATGTTTGGTTATCAAGGTTACAGGATCGCTCTTCAACAGTCCCCTCTGATTCTGTGTTTGGTTGTCAAAGTTACCCAGTGTCTTAGAAGCACGCTTCGAATTAAAACTGCAAATCACATTTGATTAAAATTGCCTTGCACATCATACAAGATTCCGTTTTAAACTTTTAACTTCAGTATAGTTTGTGTCTTTATTGATCTCTGCCTGTACTTGACTTAAGTTTCGCAAATAGTTTGTGTCACCAAGTTTTCTTCGTTTGATGAACGGGGAACTTCTACTGACAGCATTTTTTTAAATGATGAAAAGCACACTCAATACTGAACATGAAAAACGTCAGATTCCAAGGTTGTGGAACTCCACAGCCACAAGTACGTTAAGTACAAAGCTTGTTAATCTTAACGTGCTTTTTTCGGTAAAGATAAGGTGTCCATTCAAAATTATATGTAGACGGAGTAATCACATATCTTTACTGTATTCCTCCCAAATGACCCACAGAATATGGAACAGGTGCTGAGCTTACATGTACTTCTGCCTCGATCTGAGTGGTCGTTTAATTAGTAAGTCTTCCGATGCACACTGAAATCGGGGCACCCAGTAACTCAGTACTGGGAATTATTTATAGGCACTAAGATATGTACTTATTCCGTGCACATATTATTCTGAGTGTACAGTCGGACGAAATGGTTTTGGCTCAGGAGATGGACCTTCTTGAATTTATTATCTCTTTTCTGCGCTTAAGGGTGGGGTATACATACGTAAAAATGTCGGGAACATTTAAAAATTCATCAGCAATTTCGGTAACTTCACGTTATGTCACGTTATGTCCGTAAATTCTTATAATACGTTGTGTCAATTCTAAAGAGATAATGTAGGCTTGTTAATTAATCTGATTAAGAAGTTGAGGTCAAGAATTCTGGTTTGATATTAAAGAGTGGGAGTTCCCCAACAGATCAACAGAATGTATCTGGGCAAGCTACGAGTGAACATTAAATGATAGAATCTGGTTATTGTCCTTAGCGTTGGATTTTGTCATTACACGTAAATAATTTGACTACGAATCTGGAACGTAGAAGTGACTCGTTATCCAACCTAAAAGTAAACATCGGTTTCCGCATTTCGAGCCTGTTTGTAATTTTTATTCATCGCAAAATTAGCGCGTTTCCGGGCAATGCAGTGTGGGCATATCAAATATTACTCCCTCGTCCAATTTTGTGACAACGAGATGGTTCCTGAACATTACAGTATATTTGTCTATTACAAGGTCTGTTGAATTTGTGATGAAAGATATTTAGATTGTTACTAGGGGGCCTATAAATAAATCCAGTGTAATCCATTTGTAACCACGACGGGTGCTGTAGACCGTGAACTGTTGACTGTTTGACCGTTTCCTTTCTCTTATAATCATTAAATATGAACGACGAGTTTGTATTTAAAACTATTTCGATCTATAATGGATCCTAGGTTCGACCCAGTAAAAAGTAATATGACTGATGCATAACACGTTTCTTATCCAAACATTGCCATAAATACCACTCCGTACATTGTGAGTACTGCTGGTTTCCTGGTGGCAAGCTAACTGTGTATTGTCAGTCTGTCTGTTAACATTTTTAACTTGGGTAACTGTTCCATGCGTAAGGCTGGCCAGTGTAAAATACAGTGTGCATTTTTTGTATAATAAAATGCGTGAAACGTACTTTCACAGGGACTAATGAGCCCTGAAGATAACTGCAACTATGTGTACTTGTCATAAATGAAAATTATCAAACACAAACCGAAATACTTTCATACAGGCTTTCATCAGACTGATGTGAGTCGATGTTGACACTCACTGACAGCTAGGTGGTGTAGCGGCCAAGACCCTGACGGTGTGAACATATTTGGGCTTATGTTTGATAATTATCATTTATGATTCAACTACCAAGCTAATGAACATTTTTGTACATGTACTTGCTTTTGAAATATCAATACAAAGACCGTGTTAATTCAACAGATGAATTATTAAGTCGTATATTGTAACACTTTGTTACTGATAACCCAACTGCCGATACACTATGCTATATTACATAATAAATTGTCGAAATTTACGTAACAAGACACGCAGCAATATTAAAAGGCAGCGAGCCTTTCAAATGAACAGACACATCAACTGATAGAAAAAGTCATTGCTATGATCATGGAACAACGTAAAATTTTGGTGCAATTTTTTATGATGTTCGCAGCCTCGTCATCAATGTTTATTACGTGGTGTGTAATTTTTAATTATTACAATTCGGACAATGTATGCAGCACAGGGTTTCTGACTCATGGTACTCCAATGTTCTACCTGGAAAATTGACATATTTGAAGAATTTAAAATACCCAAATATAAAAGAAAGAAGATAAATAATAATTGGAAGCTGGTTTAGAAATCAAAATTTATTTTAGTAATTTGAGATCCTGTCGCTCATATCAGTAACTTTGAGGAAATAAGTTTTCCCTTTAGTGTGCCCCAGACGCGGCCGATGGACATAAGTCCTGAGACGATTGATTAACACTCAAAGAGCCCATGGTCGTTTTGCAAATAATCCAATTACGGCGTCCACTTAGAGTAGTACGGGTGTAAAATGATCAATAAGTTAGATATCAACACATGGTAAATGAGCGGACGTGATTAAATGTCATTTTAAGGAATGCGCCACCTGTCGTCCTATATATTTATATTTACATATCAGTGTCTGTGTCACCCAGCAGTTCTCTCTGTATTCAGCGGATTGCGCCGTTTTGGAGCAGTTATGTTTTGGGGTAAGATGGCCTCTCACGGTACACCACTTAGTTTTTGACCAGATATGTTTTGGGGTGAGATGGTCTCTCACGGTAAACCACTTAGTTTTTGACCAGGTATGTTTTGGGGTAAGATGGTCTCTCACGGTACACCACTTAGTTTTGGACCAGTTATGTTTTGGGGTAAGATGGTCTCTCACGGTACACCACTTCGTTTTGGACCAGTTATGTTTTGGGGTAAGATGGTTTCTCACGGTACACCACTTAGTTTTGGACCAGTTATGTTTTGGGGTAAGATGGTCTCTCACGGTACACCACTTAGTTTTGGTAACGGATGGTAACGAGCAAATATTTAATATGTTTGAAATACCAAAAGATCAAAGGGTTCATGGAAGAAATTTCACCTTTCGCCAATTTATTATGTATTTCCAAATTAAAAACTTGATAATTGGAAAATTAAACGTTTATTTGCTGACTGCAAGTGCAATGGTAGGGATATTTCTGGTATTAAAAGTAAAAACATATGCATCAAGTTGCTGTTCAAACACGAATTTTCCTAAAATGAAATAATAGTTAGAGATCTGTTGCTAAAGTAACCGAATTTATATCAATTATGTGTGATTAACAACAAAATATTGGACAAACGATTTTTTTCTAGGCGTCGTTTTGGGGTTTTTGCTTCGAGCTACGGCCGGCCAGACCGTAAGAACAGCAATGTTCGATGTTCATGACCAACTTCGAATGCCAGTTAACCGTTTACCTCTCGGCGTTAACGGTTTAGAGACCTTTACGACAAATTCTGCCGTGCAGTGTGCGTTCAGAATACAAAACATGGACGGAGACACTGCCCAGTATTGTAAGAATGCACAAAACTGCACCATATACGTAGCCAGTAATCTTCATGAAGTAATGACGAACGCGGTGCCAGATGTCGACTGTGAGTTACTCGTCTCATCTGACGCCCCTACAGGTATGTATGTGTAGTATTATAAAACATAAGTATTATAAAATGAGAGGTCTGCACTTAAGTATGGTAAAATAGATTTGCATTCAGTCAAAAAAGTAAGCTTGGCGTATGTATTAAGACACGTATATCCGTATATCAGTAACTTTATCCGTATATCAATATTTTTGGACCAATTTATTGCGCACGTGGGCATAATATCAAAATTTGATTCCATCATGTCAGAAATAAATGTATGACACGACATGAGGGATCATGATCGTGAGGATATTTTATTCTCTGTTCGTGTGAAGAAAATTACATCTTTTGAGGTGGATGGCACGGCTCTTGTAAAGCAGGATCCGAATATGATACTCATAAACCTGTG